CCCCCCCCGCAAAAAGAAATACAAAAATTCCCTGGGGGCCGAGGGAACACCAACCTTTAGGAAGAGATCAGTGTGCTTTCTGCAGACAGAAAGGGCATTGGAAAAGGGAGTGCCCTCGAAATCAAATGCAAAAACCCTCCCAGAAACAGAATCCTCGGGTAGAGGAACTGCTTACTTTAGGTCAAGATTCCAACTGAAGGGGACCAGGGGATGAATCAAAAGTATCGCCAACAGAACCCCTCGTTACCCTGAAGTTGGGGAATGATAAGATAAATTTCTTAGTGGACACGGGGGCAGCATACTCAGTGTTAAACACCTGTAAAGGTAAATTAGGTAAGCAAAGTATGCTTATTATTGGGGCAACAGGAAAAAGAGAAGTAAGGCCTTTCTTTCAACCAATTAAGTATGGAATTGATAATTGAGTTTCTACTCACAAATGTTTATATATTCCTGATTGCCTGATGCCCTTATTGGGAAGCGACTTACTTAGTAAATTGAATGCCCAGATTGTGTTTGAAGGGGATAATATACAAGTACAAATACCTGAAGAAAAAGCCTTGGAGGCGCAAGTGTTTCTCTTACAGGAAGAGATACAAGGGAACCCAGAACCTGAAACTATTCCGGAAGTACTGAATGCAGTAACTCCCTTGGTATGGGCCTCCGGGATACCAGGACGATCCTGTGCTGTGGAACTGGTAAACATCGTATTAAAACCAGGAGCACAACCAGTAAGGCAAAAACAGTATCCTATAAAACTGGAAAGCAGAAAAGGTTTGGAACCTCTAATAGAGACATTTGTAGCCCATGGATTATTACGGGAATGTCAGCTGGAATATAATACCCCAGTTTTACCAGTGAAAAAGCCACACTCAGATGAATATGGGTTAGTACAGGATTTGAGGGCAATTAATCAAATAGTACAAGACGTCCACCCGGTGGTAGCAAATCCGTATACCTTACTGACTGCCATTAAAGAGACATATCAGTGGCTCACAGTATTGGATCTAAAAGACGCCTTCTTTTTCATACCCTTGGAATTTGAAAGTCAAAAATTATTTGCCTTGGATTAGGAAAATCCTAAAATGGGTCGAAAAACTCAATTATGCTGGACTGTCCTCCCTCGAGGGTTCAAGAATAGCCCAGCAATCTTTGGGAATCAATTGGCTAAGGAATTGGAAACCTGGCAGAAGGACAATACGGAAGTGACTTTACTGCAATATGTAGATGACATCCGCCTGGGAACTCAAACACAGGAGGAATCTGTACAATATACTGTTGATCTTTTGAACTTCTTGGGAACAACAGGATATAGAGTGTCAAAACGGAAGGCACAAATTGCCCAACAAACAGTCACCTATCTGGGTTTCACTGTTACCAAAGGACAGCGAAGTCTGGGGACTGAGAGGAAAGAAGTGATTTGTCAGATACCGGAACCCAGATCTAAATGAGAACTGAGGGCATTCCTTGGAATGGTGGGGTGCTGTTGATTATGGATTATTAATTCTGGACTAACTGCTAAACCTTTGTATGAAGCAGTAAAAGGAATGGGAGAAATCCTGGAACGGACACCTGAGTGCCTCAAAGCCTTCCATCAACTAAAAGGAGATTTGATGTCAGCACCTGCCTTGGGACTTCCAAATTTGGAGAAACCATTTCAGCTGTTTGTATATGAAAGGCAGCATGTCGCATTGGGTGTTTTGGTTCAAAAAGCTGGATCTTGGAAACGCCCTGTGGGATATTTTTCTAACAATTGGATCAAGTGAGTAAGGGGTGGCCCTCATGTCTACAAGCTGTTGCTGCGACGGTGCTACTTATTCAGGAGGCTAGGAAACTGACTTTGGGACAACAGATAATAAATAATACAAGTACCACATGCAGTTACAACCGTTTTGGAACAAAAGGGGGGTCATTGGCTATCTCCTAGCTGGATATATCAGGCTGTGCTGCTAGAACAAGATGATGTGGAACTGAAAGTGACTACTGCTATGAATCTGGTCACCCTGGTACTGTTGCCTGGAGAAACAGAATTAGAACACGACTGCCTAAAAACAATTGAACAGGTATATTCCAGTAGTAGTGAAGCAATGCACATCTTGCTACACTGATAAAATGTAAGGAGGAAGGGAGATTTCCAAGCAACTGGCTGCTGACATTCAAAGATAAGGGGAAAGTAAAACAATCAGACGTGCAAGATGGGAGAAACTGGGTAAAAGTAATTCAGGCAGGGGGAGATTGCGACCACCGACACAATTAAGGACCGAAGCAAGTACCCCCCCACACTCCTACGCAAGCGCAGTGGATTAAAAGGACGCTATAGCTTTAAACACTAGGCGAGTAAACTATTAATCAATGAAGATGAGTGTGCGAAGACAGGTTAATAATTATGTATTAGATAGGTGTGGAAATTGTATACTCAATGCATAAATAAGGGAATAGAATCCAAGCTTGGTGTGCTTGATTTGTGGAATTCTTCCACCTTGCATCCAGCGCTGAATAAAGCAATATCTCCTTTCTAAACCATTTTTGGTTTCACGAGCTTTATCTTCAGGTAACAATGGCACTATAGGTTATTGCCTGGAGCTCAACCCATAGAGTTCATGTCGTTGGAAGAAGCTGCGTGAGTGGGATGTAACATACCATTTTATTTTACCAAGTCTGGAAGTAAGAGGTAATGTCTGTTACAACGATGAACATGAGACAAACAGACAGATAGATAGATAGACAGACACATCACCTTTGAAATAAAACCTTTGAAATTAAATTTAGTTTTGGTCTCTCTACAGCACAGAAGGTAGAAGACAGTCTGAATTGTTTGCTCTTCCCCATGGCAATATGTTCCATGGCAGTTCATTTGCATACAAATGATCTAACATCGTTTAATTAATTGTCTTTGCGATATCAATGCTTAGAATATCTTTACCTAAGAAAATCTTAAATTCATGTTGCTCATTCATTTCTGGATTGGGTGAATTTATTTTATCACTGATTGCACTATTCTGATGGAGATAAAATGCAAGTTTGCTGTTTTAATCATTTCAAAATTGTGAATTTTTATGCTAGAAAAAGATTTCTCACACAAACTCACATGCATAACAACACATGGAAGACAGAACAGACTTGGGATACTTAAGTACAATGTTTGAATGCCTTTTGATCTTCCACAATACATGCTTCAGTGTATATTAATAGAGCTGCATACATTACAGAGAAATAAATTGTCACAGGTACAGTATGTTTACGGCTACTCTCAGATCAGCTTACACTAATATCAGAAAAAAATATTGTATTGCTCATGTGTGGTTCATGTAAATTTTTTTTTTAACATCTGCAACTGTTAGCTTATGGCTCATTTATTTAAGAAAGACAACCTGCCATAAAGAATTGAACTGATGAGCCTGAATACCATAACAGTCCAGTTTTGAAAAGGTATAAAAATAAACGTGACACCAATCTTTTCTTTTTCCATTAGCAGTCATCCTGGTTTTCCCAACTACTCTTACAATTATTCACCATGAAGTAGTCACAAAATAGGTTTCATATAGGCAGACTTCTATGCATAACTGAGGCTCTGCTTGATCCTACCATACACTGGGGGTTGACTTCTGTAACAATACATTGCTATTTTTAGCCTGGTTTCTTCGGTTTACATAATGATGAATTTTCTGAGTGGCCCAAACTAACCCTGTAACTTTGAATTGATTGTCTAGCTACAACTAAATATGACAGAGGTATTGAAAACTTCTACAAGTTTCACAAAAATGAAAGAGACCAGAGCTTGAAACATTTGTAAGAAGTTCTCCCCTAATAACTGATTCTGTGCACCTATTTCTACTGCCTAGTATAGCAAACCAGAAGTTGCTTCCAAAACGCTCTGCAGAAGAAAGACTGTAAAAGAAAAGGAATTTGCTGAGATACATGAGGAGATGATTAAAAAAAAAAAAAAAGTCATATCTGTTTCAGCTAAGGTAATTTCTTGAGCTCAGAGGACACTGGATGAAGCACCCCATTGCCACACCTCAACCCAAACCCCAGAATCACGTGCATTTTAACACAGGCTGAGAGAAAAGAAGCTGACAGATTTTCCTGGATCAAATATGGTATCAGGGGAAGAACGGAAGATCAAGGAAAACAATACAAGAACTTGTAAAAGTATTTATAAAAATGTTGCTTTTGAGTCACCCCCCCATTTTTCTTCAGGATCTTTACCATTTTTTCTGTAAACAGTAAGTGATTAGTCTGCACAGTACTAAGACATGACACTGCAAATTCTCACAGACTGCCCCCTAGCTCTATTTAAATTAAACTACAAGAAGAGCAAGTCACTGTACAGCTTGGAAGACGATCTTGGAGTTAAGAGTATCAGAACTGCTGTAACGTTTGGACAACGCCTTTTGAGATTTTCCTTAGATTATTTCCATAAAACACTATTATGGTGAAAACAGATATAAGAAATATAAACTACAATAGTATTTTTTTCCCCCCAGAAAATCATGATAATCTAACAGTTAAGTAACCATTCTGGCCATACATGGAAATTAAACATAAAATAGCAAAAGACTGTGCATCATCTTTTCCTTCCCTCTCCTCTCCACCTCCCTGAAACTGGGATGATGTACATTTTAAATCAGGCTAACTTAAGGAAGAAAAGCTGATGTCAAGACTTTCCAGATCAAATCCACAGTTGAGGAAAGAGAGGAGTGATAAATGCACACATTACAGAGTTATAAATATCATTTACAGCTTCTGTGCAAATCAAGGATTTTCACTACTGCTGAAGTGGTACTAAAGACAATTTGTACTTACCATTATATAGCAAAACATACCCAAATAATATACCTTCCATAAATTAGCACATTACTTTGATGTTATTCTTACTCATTTTGACATAGTAAGCCTATTGTCACACATCAATTAACATGGCAATTAAAGTAATAATAATATGTAATATATTCACATGGAACAGACAAGTTAATTGCATGCTGCTTTACAGCTTGCTTTTAAAGTAATCGCTCTGATTTTTCAGGTTCTGAAATTCAGCTTTGCATACCAAGCTCTGAAAGCTGAGGTAAAGTACCTCTAACATTGAATGTTACTCACTTGGTTGTACTGACACACCGCCGTTCCGTTGTGTTAAGTGAAAAGAAACATCGGCCTCTGACATTCCTTCCCTGGTGCTTTTGGGAAGATCATTCCTCTCCAGCTAGCATCGCAGGGATGCAGGCACAGGCACTGGCTGCTTCTGCGCTGGCAGGAGGCTGAATCGCTGACAGTTTCACTGATGCGTTTCTCTATCGGATACAGGAAGCCAAAGAAGAGGCATGATCTTTTGGCAGTGCAGATGACTTGTACAGAAAAGCAAGCTATTTCTAAAAATAAGTAGACAGCATATGACTTTCAATGCTACTTTCCTGCTGGTCTAGTGGTCAGCCCCCTGCCCCCCACAACCTGGATTCACATCCAGGAAAAGACTTCTTATTTCAGTAAAATTTCTCTAGTACATACCTTAGAGTTTTCACTACTCTTATGGCTGTAATCAACAACCCTTTCACTGCCCAACAGAAATTTAGCATAATATATTACACATCTTGAAAATAATGGTAATTGTGAAGCATAACAGAGCAAGAATTATTTCTTTCTACATCTAACAGTTTCCTAAGGTATGGACAAAACATGTTCGCCCGCCCTGCTATCAGCCATAAGATCCCATCTTTCATAGGCTCACCTACTCTTCTGAAATTGTCAGGGGGAATATTTTTCTCAATCACTCAGGCAGCTTAAGAATCAGGGGGGTCACCCTTGCCTTCCTCTGAGGCGTCGCACAACAGAGGCACTCTAAGAACAAACTGGCAACCATCATTCTGTAACACGTCGTCCTCAACGCTGCAAATGCAGCTGACGTGGACCTACCCTAGTTTTAACCTAGCTGTCTCAAGTGCTGCCAGCATCACAGCCACAGAAGCACAGAGACCAGTAAACCCTCCAAAACCCACCTGAGAAGCACCCAGGGCGGGGAAACCTGTACTTTTAACCACAACACTGCGGACCTAGTGAAGCATACAAACTCCTTTAAAGCTAGCTCAGTTTCTGCAGTATAGAACCACCTTAGTATGTGGTTGGTGTTCCTTGCAGGTTCCAAGTTGCAGGAAACCAGGTCTCACTTTCCCTTTCTCTTGAACAAAGGGCACAGATTACCTGCTGGGACCAGGTGGCCTCTTACCTAACCACGTCCCCCTCTTTGCAGTGGCCTCAGGCCACGGTGGTACCTCAGTTTGAGCTGTGCTCTGCCTCCAGCACTCCACGGCTTTGTCTCCTCAAGGCCTGAAATGCCTTACCAAAGAAGCTGCTATCGATATACACATATATACTGCAATTCTTGCAGTATATAAAACATCAGATTGTATCTAATAGGGCCTGATTGTAACCTCACATTTTGTAAGTTATCTACCTC